CTGCTTTTTTGGTATTCCATTCTCTGATTGTGGAATCAGGTCTTAATCTGTTTGTAGCTAAGTTTCAGAATGCTGGAAAATTGTGGAATCTGTTAGAGGCTGACATATTTCTTTGAAATTTATCAGTGAGTGTAATCAAATATGGTGACCTCAGTTTGTTCACATTTTTTTACTTTTATGTTTCTGAAACTCATCATTAGCAATGCTGTGACTTTTATTCCTGTCATTAGCAATTTGTGTCTTATTTATATTTTACCTTGATTATATAATYATATGTTTATAAATTTTATTGATCTTTCAAATTTGGTTCAACTTATTTTCTGTATTTCCCATCTGTTCTCATTTCCATTACTTTACGTATCTCAATGTTTTCTTTCCTTTCTTGTCATATATTTAATAAGCACTTATATTTCTAATTTTTAAGGTTAAAGTATATTTATTATTTTTACATCCTACTTGTCTAATAATTAAAGCTAAAAATTTCCCTGTAAGATTTTGTGCATTCCACCATTTGATGTTGTTTCTATTTTCAGTCAGTTCAGAATATTTTCTTATTCTTAGTTTCAGTTATTTCTTGACTACTATTTGTTTAAAACTGTTGTTTCTCCCTTCCTTAGCATTGCCTACAAAAGCGCTAGCTAACTACATTCAGCATAATGGCTGTCCTAAGATCTTCTTATGGGTTTTAGCCCATGTCTCTGGTTTTAGGTTGTCCCGTAGAACTCAAGCCACAACAGTGAACAGACATCAACCTTTCAGAGCCAAATTTAACAGGACTTACACTTGAATAAGTCTTTATGTGAAGCCCAAAATTGTCAAGAAGAGGACCAGGAAGTTCATYTGGCACCTGTCAGACCAATATGGCAAAATTAAGCATAACTGGAAGAAACCCAGGATATTGACAGTAACGTGCAGAGAAGATTCAAGTGTCAGATCTTGATGCCAAACATTGGTTATGGGAACAATAAGAGAACAAAGCACATGCTACTCAGTTACTTCTGGAAGTTTCTTGTTAATAATGTCAAGGAGCTGGAAGTGCTGCTGACATGCAGCAAATCTTACCATGATGAGATTACCCACAATGTTTTCTCCAAGAACTGCAAAGCCATCAGGGAAAGCGAAGTAGCCCAACTGGCCATCAGAGTCACCACTCCCAATGTCAGACTGTGCAGTGAATAAAATGGATAGACAGATCACATGCACATTGYTTTTGTGTGTGCTTAAATGAAATCACAAAATCTGCCATCTGGCATTTCCACCTTGCCTCAGAAACTATGTTATTTAATTTCCAAATATCATTTTGTTAGATTTTAAACTTTGTTAGTAATAGAAAATGTATATATGGAGTACTTAATCCTTTTATATCAATTGTGATGTCAAATAACATGGTAATAATAGAATCTGTCTTGGTGAATATTTCATGAGCACTTGAAAATAAGGTGTATTCCACTCTTGGATGGATTGCTCTCAAAATGTCAAGTTGGTTGTTACTCTTGTTCTGGTCTTCACTATCCTAATTGATTCTTTTGATTTGTTCTATCAGTTTCTGAGAGGAAATGCTGAAAACCCCACTTTTGTCTGGCTTGCCCATTAGTCATTTCAGTTCTATTTCTTCTTTTTAAAAAATTTTTGGCTGTAGATGTACACAATACCTTTATTTTATTTCTTCTTCTTTTTTTTTAAATGCTATGCTGAGGATCAAACCCAGTGTCTCACATGTGCCAGGCAAGCATTCTACCACTGGGCCAAAACCCCAGCAGCTTATCAATCCTTATTTAGTGTGTTTTTAAGATCATTTATTATGGGCTGGGGATGTGGCTCAGCAGTAGAACGCTCGACTAGCATGGGTGGGACCTAGGTTCCRTCCTCAGCACCACATAAAAATAAAGGCATTGTGTTGTGTCCTTCTACACCTAAAAAATAAATGTTTTTTTTTAAAAGATCATTTATTATGTACATACACATTTAGAATTCTTATGTGTTCTTGATGTAGTAATTCCTTATCATTAAAAAATAACCCTCTTGATCCCCATAATATTCCCGATTGTGAAGTCTGCTTTTTTTCCACTCTACTTATATGGCTACTTATCTTTTCTTTGGTTAGTATTTCTCTTGCATAAAACAACATCTCCTGTAGAACACAACTATGTGCATTTACCAAGAGAGAGTGACATGGGTACCAGTTTTTTTCTTGTGGGTTTTTAGCACATGACAGTAGAATCCATTCTGGAACAACTATAAAAGCATGGAATATATGTTTTACTGTAAAATTATATGCATGCTATGTTGGCAGCAGCCATATACATCTCATCTTAATCAGCTCTCTTGATGGGTTCATTTCTCTTGTGCTTGATATAATTTTGTGTTGTTTGCTTAATAGGCTGTTCTGTTACCATCTAAGACTATTTAAGTCAACTCTAAATGTTTGTACAAAGATGAAATTGCCTATGGATGCAATAAGTGAGTGTATAATAAGCATTCACATACGCACTCCCAAATGAAGCATTCATTAAATTTTTGTCATATTTCTTCCAATTACTCTTTAGAAGTGAATAAATAGAATTCTACAGGTACCCCTAAAGCATACTTCTGCATCTCTTCTCAATGTACAATTAAGAATTTTAGAGGCTGATATACATTATTCTAACACATTATGTTAAAACAGCAGTTTATTCTAAATATCAAAATATTGCACTTCAAAAGAGGTATAGGTGACATGCAGACTMTGAATATGAGTTTTCTGATAACTGGTTAGCAATTTTTAAGCCACCATCCATATCAAGGCTATCAAGATGTTTGGGGATTTATTTTTTATGTGAGTAATAAAATGTTGAACTGTTTATAGATGAACTATCTTCCCTGCTCTAGTTGGGCCTTTTGAAGGCAGAAAGACTACAAGAGAAGTAGGTGTGTTCTACTGTTTCTCTTTCTCTGCTACTTCTTCTTCTTCTTGTTACATCCCTCTGTATCTTTATTTCTAAACCATTGTATWGGAACATGTTCCTGAGGGGATGGTATAGAGAGCAGAACATTGCTTTTTGCTTGTCCTGCTGTGGTGACTTGAATGCTCCTGTATGCACTTGCCAGTATTGTAGAGTTGATTCCAACTAATTTTACAAAACTTATGCTGACTCCTATCACTTCAAGGCTATACAGTCATTGCTTATTTCTTACAGCATTCTAGCTTTAAGATTTTTCTTTAAAGGGATTTTGCAATCAAAACTAAACACTTGGAAACTCATTTACATTTCTATGCTTTTATTTACAACATCACTACAAATGATCTCTTCTTCCATTTCCATTTGTTCAGGTCCACGTTTTCTTTCCTTGCCAACTTAAAAAAAAATTGATGTGGCTTGTRGAAGTGGCAGAGGCACACTCTTAGTAATTGTAGAACCATTGGTTCCAATTCCAAGTAGTTCAAAAAGTCTTCCCTGTCTATTGGCCACCACATACACACTTACTTGTGAGATCTTTTTGCACTCTGATCCCTTCTCAGAATTTGCATGCCAAGAGGATTTTGACCAGTTAGAATCAATATGACAGGCATGTCTAAGGAGATCTCTTCTTCTAAACTCTGCACAAATCTTCTGCAGAACAGGAATGAAATTACATCTATTTTTACACCTGAATTGATGTATTGACAATATTGGTGCCCAAGACAGATAGCTGACACATAGGTGGAAAGAGTACTGTGATTTCAGAGGCTGCTGGACTCACAATGGTAGTTTCCTCTAGTCCATGCCATGGTGAAGTCAAACCCCACTGTCTTATTCTGAAAACAGATTCCAGATGATGAACATTTTAAGATTCAGATTTGAATCTTGTGACCCAGTTTAGTCATGGGGTCAGCTTGAGAATCCATGTGTCCCAACCCCATGTCCAGTGCCCTTTCCAATCTAGCGCTTAAAAGTTCTGTATCACAATGTGTCCCAAGTGTTTTAGTCACTTCTGTGACCAAAAGATCTGACAAGAACAATTTTAGGGAGGAAAAGTTTATTTGGGGGCTCACAGTTACAGAGGTTTTAATCCATAGACGACAGACTCCATTCCTTGGGGCCTGACGTGAGACAGGACATCAACAGAACAGTGTGTGGCAGAGGAAAGCCACTGGGAACATGGTGCCAGAAGCAGAGAGTTCTCCTTTCACCAAGAAAAAATATACATTCCCAAATCATACCCCAATAACCCACCTCCTCTAGCCACAGCCTACCTGACTTCAGTTACCATTCTTATAACCCAAGTTTTTCCAAACTTTCTTGCATTGTCTCACACATGAGCTTTTTGGGGACACCTCATATCTAAATCATAATTCCAAGATTTCAACTATTGGAATATTGGTCAGGGCAAGAGGTAAATAACTGCTTGCCAGTTCTCAGGATGAAAGGCTCTTATTTAAACCACTAAAAAAACCCCATGGCCAACTGGTCACCATGCCATGGACAAATTCTACCATTTTTTTGTGAGCTGTTTTTTTAAATGTAGGGCAGTAAGGACATTATTTTTCCAAACCCAGAGAATTAAATAACATTTAAAAGTAGTAGAACTCCATCAGAACCAAACTTTCTTTGTACAACAATTGCAACATGATTCTCAGAATATAGTCTGAGAGAGAAATTGCAACATGATTCTTAGAACATAGTCTGAGAGAGAAATAAGGAATCATTAATTTTTAAAATAACTTTGGTAGAAAACAATCATAAATAAGAGGTTTAGCATTTTGAACAACAATTCTATCCACTGAAATGAAAATGACAAAGAAAAGATTCAGAGGAAGATAGGATAAGAAATTTATTGAAAATATCAGTAAGAATGGAAATGTTCTTATTTCATCCTGGTTTCTCTAAGAAAAGCAAGACAATCCAGTTTAAAATAAATACATTTGAAGACCATGAGTAATTTCAGAGGCACAGGCTGAAATTAAAGTAGACAGCTGTCAAGTGTGATGGGGGCAGTGTTGACTCGCCAAAATACATCTAATGGACCAGAGCACAGGTTCTTCATCCCTGCTCCACTCTGCTACCTGACATCTCCAGGGATCCCTGAGGAAGGCTGTCTCCACATTCTTCCTCCTCAGGAGTGTCCTGCAGAGCCCGCTCAAGCACCAGCTTGAGGTTCTGACGCTGCAGCCGCTGCCTAAAGGAGCCAACAAAGAAATAAATGATGGGGTTGGTGCAGCTGTTAACACAAGAAAAGACATTTGAAACCAGATAAAGACAAGTGTATGCATCAAAATCGACTGAAATCCAGTCTGACAGAAATAAATAAATGCCAAAGGGCAGTTCACAGAGGATAAAGGCCAGCAATGTGAGCAGGATGGTCACATACAGCTTGGTCAGTGTCTTATGCCTAGAACCACAAAGGATTCTCCACAGCAGGGCCAGGCTGGACCCTGAGAAAGTCACAAATAAAACAATCAGCCATGCCGTTATGATCAAATCAACTTTTATACACCAATGAACTCCACTATTGATAATCAAGGTAGAACAATAGACCATGTCCAGGACGCCCCAAAACATGGACAGGGCCCAGAGCAGGGCACACATGATAGCTGACATGTGTCTAGGGCGGCGACAGCGATACCAGATGGGCCACAGGGCCGACAGGCAGCGCTCGGTGCTAATAGCACTAAGGATGCTCAGGCCTGCGATGTAGGAAATGATTCCCCCAGTTCGCACGATGTCATATGTAGGGACAGAGAAGTGAAAGAACATTTTGACGATGTCCACCAGGAAAGCAGTGATATGGAAACAGAGAAAGAAGAAGTCAGAGGCAGCCAGGTTTAGGATATAGACCGAGAAGGCATTTCTGCGCATGCGGAAGCCCAGGAGCCAGAGCACAGATGCGTTTCCCATCAGTCCAACCAGGGCAATGAGGAGGGCCAGCACTTTTGGAAGAAGGTTATTCCTGTCACAAGTTGGAGGAAGGTGCTGGTAACTTCCATTGGTTGGTGTGGCTTCTGTACTCCAAGCTGTGATGGTTGGATCCAGGCTCTCCATCTCTGCACTGGTGCCCCTGGGAAAAAAGCAAGACTCAAGGGCTAAGGAACTAACAGACACTTCTCAGAAGATATGCAATCGATCAACAAATATATGAAAAAATTGCTCAACGGCTCTATTAATTAGAGATATGTAAATCAGAACTACGCTAAGATGTCATCTCACTCCTGTCAGAATGGCAATTATCAAGAACACAAGAAGTTAAAAATGTTGGTGAGGATGTGGGGAAAAAGACACCCTCATACATTGCTAGTGGCACTGAAAATTGGTGCAACCACTCTGAAAGGCAGTATGGATGTTCCTTAGAAAACTTGGAATGGAACCACCATTTGACCCAGCTATTCCCCTTCTCGGTCTATTCCCTAAAGCCCTAACAAGAGCATGCTACAGGGACACTGCTACATCGATGTTCATAGCAGCTCAATTCGCAATAGCTAAACTGTGGAACCAACCTAGATACCCTTTAATAGATGAATGGATAAAAAAATACTATGGTGTATATACACAATTAAATATCACTTAGCATTAAAAGAGAATAAAATTATGGCATTTGCAGGTAAATGGATGGAGTTGAGAATATCATGCTAAGTGAAGTAAGCCAATCCCCCCCCCCAAAAAAAAAAAAAAAACAAAGGCTGAATGTTCTCTGATAAGTGGTTGCTGATCCATAATGGGGTGTGTATGTGGGAAGAATGGAGGAAGTTTGGACAAAAGGGAGATGGAGAGGTAGCATGGGGGTAGGAAATATGGTGCAACCAACACAATGAAAGTTGTGCTCCATTTGGGTACAATAAAGTGAAATGCATTCTGCTGCCATGTATAACTAAATAGAACAAATACAAAAATATTAAAAAAGCAAGACTTGCTGCATGAGGTCAGTTTATCAGATCACCCTGATATGTGGAAATTAGTTATCTCCATTTTAAAGAAGAGGAAAACAAGATTGCAGAGATGAAGGAACCTACAAAGAGTGGGGGATTCTTGAAATAGGATTCAAATTCAACACTCATTGTCTAAAAAGTTTCTGAGCTCTCTGACCTGAAATTAAATGACATGGAAATATATTATGATCCAAACCTCCACTCATGGGGTAGAGTTAAGGACTAGTTAGCACTGCTCTGCCTTGGCACTAAAGTTTGCTATTAGGTGCAAGAATTGAGATAGACACAGGTTACATCCCAGGTTACATCCCAGATCATGACATCCCCTTGCCTATGAGTGTTCCATCCAAAGAGAAGAAGACCTGGATTTATATCCATGAGGGGAATGTGAGCTTCTGGTAGGACAGGAGAGGATGGCTAGGTTTAAAAATACCTCACTGTGTCAGACATTGGAGACAGGATCACTTTTTAATCCCTGATGCTTAGCTTTATGTGTGGCCCACATTTTCTCAATACTCATTGAAGAATGAATGTATTAATGAGGAGGCTTAAAGTGTTATGTGATTTGGGTTAAATAGAAAGTAAAATTAGAAATAAAATCCTTGACATGCATATAATGAGATGAAGGAAATATCATTCATCATAATTCTTATTGTGAACAACAGTGGGCATATTCACAACGACTTGCATGTCCCCAAATAACTGTTATTGATGGCTGATATGCCTTTGAAGTGAGCATTTAAATGACTTTTTCAGCACCTAGAGGCATTTTGGTTCAGATTTGTGTATTAGCAAAATTGCTTACCCTCTGAAGAGGGTATAATAATGGATGAGGTTTTAGAGCCACTGAAAAGAAGTGTTTTAAATAAGGGAATATCTATGGAGGACTACTGAGAGGTGGGTACAATATAAACTCACTCCGTTCTCTCCCAGGTGATCCTTATTTACATTTTCTTTGTTGACAAAAGCTTTTGTGTGAGAGGAGTGTATGTGGGTAAATAGAAAAAGTTGAGGGATGGGAGTGTAAAGAGATTGCTCAAGCAGATTTCCATTAAGGAAAGAGGACAAGATCATACTGTAATGATTAACAGGAGCTGACTGAGAGTTTATTGGATAATTTTTCTTTGAACTCTCTCAAGAGCTATGAGGTAAGAATTAGTATTTTTCACATTTTTTACCATGAATGGAATCAGAGTAAAACAGGATGAGCAATAGCCCCCGCCTTTTTTCCCCATACAGTGTAGATTTGAAAACCCAGGTTCTACACTTTGAGTAGTACTTTGGATCCACCACCATTGTGTGTCTGTTATATGTGGATGAGGGAAAAGCAGAGGAGTAACTCCCAGGTTACATCCCAGATGGCAATCAAAATTGTGGCTGAGATAAAAATCTAATGTACGCAAACTTCAGAAACAGACAAGAAGAGAAGTCAATCTAACAGAGAACAAAAGAGGTGGGTGAAAGGCAGTTAGGAGAAGATACGAGAAATGAGAAGCCCTCTCCTGTCTCACAAAGGCAGCCAGGACTTCAGTACACAGAGCACTCAAGAGGGGCTGGAGGCTTGTGAGTGGAAAAAGGTCACATTCTCCTCTTTTGGCCTGCAGAGGAAACTCAGACAAGATCCTTCTTGAATTTTCTTTGAAAGACAATTCCCCCCAGCATTGCTTGGCTTGAACAGGAAATAAGGGGAAAAAACAGAAGTTCTGTTTGCCATACTCAAGGCACTTTACAGTTTGTACATCTGTTTTTAGAGTGTGGTGTATTGGTCTTTCTAATGAAAACTGAAGCTCTCTAAAGACTATGCCATGTCTGTTTTATTTACTACTATATCCCAAGATTTAGCTTGTGTTTTTACAGACCATCTATTGTAATATTCTCACTTAAAAAGAAACAAGACTTGGGTTGGGGATGTGGCTCAAGCGGTAGTGTGCTCGCCTGGCATGCGTGAGGCCCGGGTTTGATCCTCAGCACCACATACAAACAAAGATGTTGTGTCTGCTGAAAACTAAAAAAAAAAATATTAAAAAATTCACTTGACTGGAAAAGACATACACAGGCTGAAGGTGAAAGGTTGGGAAAAAATATACCACACACACGGTCCTCGCAAGCAAGCAGGTGTGGCCATCCTCATATCGAATAAAATCGACTTCAAAACTAAGTTAATCCAAAGGGATAAGGAAGGACATTATATACTGTTAAAAGGAACCATTAAACAACAAGA